CAGTAATACTGACCAACATCTGGTCACTATCTCTTCTTTAAATCTTTCCTGTCATTTCTTTGCTTTTAGACACTTTTCTGAGCGGCTTTGAATCCTTCAGAAGATGAGCAACCTATATCCTATGCTTTTAGAAATGCCGCTTGGCTGCCTGGAGGACAAACTGAGAAGAAGAAAAAAATTAGATCACAAACGACTGCAACACCGTCTTGTAAGTGAGGTCTGTCAGATCAGTGTAGGTCTGTAGCATGTTAAGGGTTTCATCTTCATGGTCCTGTGGCGCTGAGAGCACAGCAGGCATTTCTAATCAATCCACACTTAGATATGTTGTAGACATAAAGGAGGAGTGGACACCTGGTGTGCAAGCAGTGGAATCATCCTGAGATAAGTGTGAACTGAACTAGTGAGTCATGTCTAACGATACATTTTTTAAAAAAACAACTTTGATCCAATTCATGCCTTTTAGCATTTGTTATTATTTTAGGGGCTTTTCTTTATCATTACTATTTCTCATGTTGTCTGTAGTAACCTGCATAACAGAAAAAGTCTGTGCACTCCACAGCTGAACATCTTTACCTGCAGGCAAACAGACTGCAGAGACTACTGTTCTAATACAGATACCAAAGAGAGAAAGTAAGGTATAAGCCTTAATCTACAATACGTAGCTCTGGGCCTTAAACTGAAGTTATCCCATAAGAGTGACTGACAGTTTCATGTGCAGAGAAGTGCCAGCAGTACTGGTTGCTCAACAAACACCACGCTAACGGGATTACGTCTGTGCCTTTAATTCGCTGGCTGGTAAACAATGAAAGTCGGGATGATTAATTTATGAATAGGATACAGTTATTAGAGTATCTGAAGTGTTTGCTGAGGTCAGCTCATCATTAAAAATTGATAAAATGGAATCAGTGAGTGTGCTGAACCTGAACATGGGGACTCTGCCTCAACCTCCCAGCAGACTGTTTCTCCACTTCTTCTACCTGCAGTTTCTTCAACTTTGTTTTTATTTTTGTTCCAAGTACAAAAAAAGCTGAAAAATAACAAGAACCTGCATCTGACCCATGCAATGTGCACAGACATCCCATTCTTCTTTTGCACTTGAAAATCCCCCTGACTCAAGACTGACCTTAAATTATGTGCACACTGGAGTCAGTCTCTAATATAATCGCATGAATATTTAGTTAAGGACAGAAACCCTCAAAGCCAAGTACAAACCTGCACAACCAAACTATTTTGAAAACATAATTAAAAATGTAGAAACTCCATACTGTGAGAGAGTTTATAGTTGGCATCCTCCCATCAATTTTGTATTGTTTTTAAGACCAAAGCACTGGCACAAAATATGATAGAAATTTGTGTGTACAAGCTTAAAAGGCTGACTGACAACATTTAGTTCTGACATGATGGAAAACATTACAGTAACATCATATTGATTCATTTAATGATCAATAATCCAATATCATCAATGCAAAGTGAAAACATTGATCCACATCATTATTTTTAAAGGTGCTCTATAGGCCCGTTTCCACCGCAGGAACTTCGGGGTAATTTTACGGGGCCGGGGTCGTTGGTGCGTGTCTCCACCGCAGGAACCACCCCCGAAGGACAGAGTTCCGGAACTTTTACAGGGGCTAAACAAGTCCCTGCCTCGGGGTAGGTACTCAGAACGGCCCCGAAAGACTCCTGGCTGGGGCTTGGGGTTTACTTGGTGCTGATTGGACATACTCAAGGAGGGATGTGACGTCAACAGAAAGCAACAAAATAGCCGGCATTTTTAAAACTCAGCAGACGAGGGTTAGCTCGTTCATATAGCTTTCGCCGCCATGTAAAAAAACACTCACTAAATGGCCCGTGAAAAAAAATATTCTTTCCAGCGGATATCTTAGTTACAACATGATTGAGCTAGCAAAGCAGTTTTGTGTTGCTATGTGTGGTATTTATTCAGTTTTGGGAAATCACGATGTCTAGAAAGCATCAGCTAACAGCAGCAGCAAAGCTAACATCAGGACGTCATCTGTTAAAAGCCTCCCGTTGTTGGATACGACATGAAACTACTCCAGTTAGCTCAATCATGTTGTAACTAAGACATCTGCTGGAAAAAATATTTTTTTCACGGGCTATTTAGTGAGTTATTACAGACACTGCTATTGGCTAACGGCGTCCCTACGTCACCCTGGTCAAAATGGTCGCGCAACGATTACGTCACATCCCAAATACTACCAGGAACTTCTTCAGTGGAAACGGGCATTATGTGACACATACAGCGTACGAGATGTCTGGACATTTTCAACATGAAGGTGGCCGAAGCTGTTGCTAGTGGCTAATGGTGGTAACTCCATAACCAGGGGTAGAACCTGAGGGTCGCTAAGCTTCTGCAATGTTGCCCTTCCAATATCCGCAGTAACTGCCCTATGAGCACAGCCCAAAGTGGCGGCAATAAGCTAATCAGTGGGCTACACACATGCACTAACAAGCACAACAAACCACAGAGAGGCCTGGATGACAATACAAGACATAGTACAAGCGCCAGGCAAGAAAAAGACCACGAGGATATTTACTTCCCCTTTGGGAATAAATCAACAGAGTGGAAATATTTTGCATTTTGGATAAAAGATGAATCAACAGACAAAGCACATACTATATGCAAACAATACTGTTACGAGGTAAAATACTCAGGACAAACCTGGCTATGCATCTCACTCCGCTAACGTTGCACTACAGCAACATTAGCTGCTCTGTTTCACCAATATTCGGCTGAAAAAACTTGCATGCAGGCTGAAATTCAACTGTGCGCTTTTGTCAGGAGATGCAGCGACTTAAACAAGTGGAGAGTGAGTAAAACCGTTAATATTATACAGAATTTATCAAGCTATAAGTAGAGAAAAAGTCTGCTAGCCGCTAGGCTAATTTATGCTATGTAATAGTGCTTAAGCTGATAATGGGTGACTAGCACAATAACAAATGTTTTCGTTGAATTTTATACTTTTGTTAAATGTCTTTGTTGTTAAGCCATGTTTTAAGGGAGTCAAATTTAAGTACACATTACTGCACTTAACCAGTTACAGTTATTTACAGTTATCATTTATGTGTTGTTTTTATCTTCAATGGCCAAATGCAAAAATGAAAGGAATGGCAGCTTCTTTTGTAACTAACTGTGTTAACAGTGCATACTACGACATCATGCCCATGGTGGTCATGATATCATCTCATATCTATTCCAGGCCCCTGGATTTAACTAAATTTGAATCCTGGCAGATTTAGTTATATCAGCAAATATTGTATCAGTGTCCAAAGAATCAATATAATATCATATTGTGATGAAACTAGTGATTTACACCCCTGGTGTATACATAAAGGTTAGGAGAACAATGATGATCATTGATTATTTTACATTAACTTCTCTTGTGATGGACGTCACTCAATACTTTTGTCACCATTTGTTTAGTTTGAGTAATGATGTTGTCATTCCTCCTCTCCCCCATATTTGCTCACCCACCGGTCTTCACATTCAAACCACCTCCACACTGTCTCTTTGTGCCTCTTCTCTCCGCCTTTTTTAATGATATTACTTATCAATAATTAATCTGCAGCAGCTTGCCCACCCAACTTGTTTAGCAACGTCTGTCATCCTGTTAAGTAAATGCAGAGCTGGATTAGAGTGGTGAGTTGGGCAGGGGCTCCTTCGTGTATTGCAGCATCTGTGCCACACAGGGGACTTGTCAGAAACTATAATGACCAACACCACATTATCTATTCCTCTCGCCCTCATCTCCCTCCCTCATAGCTCAGGCAAGTAGTGCAGAGGCTTAGCCACCATCATCTCTGAGCAAAGCAAAAGCAGCAGAGACAAATATCTCATTATTAGGGATGAGAGTAAAACAGAGTTAAATTAATCAGTAGCCATAATGTCCCTATATCCATAGGAAACTAAAATATGCATAGGAGGAGATTATGGAGAGGGAAAGAAACACATCCAGAGGGACTGATCAGTCTATGAGCTTCATAATATCTGTTTGGTTTTGTTGTGTTAAGATTTCCATTTGTAGTGACTGAGTGAGTTGATGACAGAGACAGATAATGTGGGAACATCTGTTGTTTTGTACAATAAAATTTGTCTTTGAATGCATGTTTATGGTCAATGACCACTGCACATACAGTACAGCATGCATGTTCAAATGTAGTATGTATTTTTATCCTTCTTTTGAACAGCAAATAAATCACCCACATTTTTCTGAGTACATTTCAAACACCACACTGGCATTCTGGGGCACGATCACATGTCCAATGTTTCCCTGATCAGTGTCAGAAGCAAATGAGAAACAGCCTAATTACTTTCTGTGCTCACATTAGGAGCTAACTGCGTGGATTAATTTTATTATGTAAAACATTTGCAAAAAAGTGTGCAAAAATTATCTGCATACCAAGTAGTACACAGACTAATTGTAAATGAGATGCAAGACTTGTGTTTTTGTTTGCACGCGGCAGACATCTGTATCAGTTTATGTGCACTGCAAATGTTTACTTTAACAAAACAGAAGGGCACAGGGGCACACACATTTCAATTGCCCCTGATGAAACCTGCGTTGCTATGGAAACTCTTTGACAGCAAGTACATAAAATGAAACAACCTTTCACTAAGCTTTCTACTGACACAAAGAATCCATCTTTCAACTCAAACTTGTCCTGTTTTTTTGGAGTTAACCTGACAGGTTAGGGGCCACTGCAGTGTTTTGATCTATAATCAGGTTATAACAGAGTCAACAGTGGGACAGGTCGGGCCAGATTACATACATTACACACCTCAATCCTTTAATTAGTCCCACAATGTCTCTATATTTAGGGGCCAAACATCACAGTAAGAGACTACTTCTTACAAAATCACTCCAAACATGTTGGACCTTATTCAAGAGTGTTCGTACGATTTTGAATAAAACACCTTTGAACATGTGTGTATGAATGCCTGTGTGTACAAAGGTAAACCTTAGCAGCAGGTGCAGTCATACCAGTAATCTTGTCCAGTTCAGCCAGAGTCTCCTGGTAGGAGCTGATGATTCCTCCGTATCGTGTCATCACCTCTTTCCTTAAGTTGTCCCAGTGAGGAGAAAGCTCCCCCAGGTCCTTCAGGTCCTGCACCCTGCAGATAAACACAGATCCATGAGGAACTTTGTGGTTTTAAAGCTCAAGTTGGTCACTTTTATAAAAAAAAAAAAAAAAAATGTTTTCAGGAACACATTTTAGTGCACTGTTTAGCTGTAGAATGAAAAAGTTTGTGACCTGGTAGCCATGTTGGAAACTGTCGGCTACCGGCTGGAGAAAGACTTTGTCATTTTACAGCAAAACAGCACACCAAAATATGTTTCTGGCAACCTTTAAGGTGAGAAATATGCAATGCAGTAACAGAATACTGACTCCAATTTGATCAGCGCTGCCTAGTCTGACAGTTTTACTGCAGTTCACGAGCAGTGATTGACAGCTGCATTAGAGACTTTTTGGCTTTGGTTGTTTTTGGTGCGCTGCAGTGATGCCATCATACCATTAGCGGCAGGAGGAATAGGAGGACGGGCATGATTCCAGAATACAGTGACAGTTTGAGCAAATATGACATGACATTATTTTCAACTGTAGCTTTAATGGATATAAAACAAATCATCAGTGTACATTACGCCGCTTAGCTTTTTTTTAAATGGGTCATATCCATTCTTCCCAAACTCTTTACTGAGGTTTTTTGGTAAGGTATAGAAAACGCTTAACACTCCTGGTAAAGCACAGACACAAGCTTGCACATAATGAACCAGATATACACACACACACACACACACACACACACACACACACACAGTAACGTCCTGCAGCGCCCTATGCTGAGCCAGATAAACACATTTCTGAACCTCAGGCGAGTAGCTGGTGCCCACTTATCCACTCTGCCCTATCAAATTCCTCCATTGCTTCCACCATTCTTTTACCATTAGGTATAAAATAAACCCATCTGGTCTTTACTGGTGTCACTGGAGTGATTCACTGCCTGTCTTTCATCTAGTTTTGCCTGCAGCCTCGGGCCAAAATCATCCGTGCTCCTTCTTTAGGAAATAACAGCAGCTGTGCACAAGTGTGTGCATGTGTGTCTTTGTTTGTGTGTGTGTGTGTGCGTGTCGGGGTGAGGGTGCTGATTTCCTACTATTACATACAGCCTCTTTCGTTGGGTCATTATTTGCATGTGAAAGGCGACATCAGATGGACAGATATCATTCAGAAACCAGCCCTCCAGCATCCATTGAAAAGTAAATTGCAGTGATATTATAGAAATTAGAGGTTGAAGGAGGTTCAACATAGTCTTCAGGATGACAAATACATGGTCATATGCATTGCTTTCATGATAACGGGCCCACTTTTCAGTGATTACAGCTCATACATTTTGTATACTGTATGTCTTAAAATGAAAGGCTGCATGTATAAATGCTCGTTGGTTCGACTTATTGTTGAGACCAGGCATAATTGCTTGAATGCATAATGTAGTAGTTATTTCTTTGTTATAGTTCAACTACTACAACAAAGCGTTAGGCGCTGATAGCCTCTCCAGACTGTTCCTTGGTTTCCTCCAGGTAAGTAAGTTATTTTTAGATTACTTTGAAGTACTTCAATGCACAGCGGAGTGCGATAGAAATGATGCCAGAGAGAAAGCGATAGAGAGAGTGAGTCAAGGTCATTTCTATCATATGTATGATCAAACCCACAATATTTTAAAAGGGGTTTCAGCCAAATTACAAAACAAACAAAACAAAAACATATTTTCTCATATATCTCTAGTGGTATCGAGCCAGCCACGCTTTCAACAGTTTACACAGGGACCATTTCTTTGTTAGAATGTAGTTCTCACAAACACTGCTTGTGAATCATGCAGACACACTGTTTCTGAAAAGACATGTTGTGGTGTAATTTTTAAAGCAATGTTTGCACTAGAGCTAGAATAATATATTGGCCAATGAAGTGTAGCCCAGTCGCCATTAGAAAATGTTGGCATTATAGGTTTCTTCAAAACAAGGATACACTACATTCGTACATTTCATACGTATCATATCAACATTTCTAAAGTGATGTCGTGTATGAGCTGAGGCAGAACGAGAGGCGAGACACCTGCCAAGCGTTAGACCACTGTTAGGGACCAACAAACAACAAAACAGGTTGTTTTTTTTTCTAGGGATTTTTCAGGTGCTTTTTTTTACGGCCTGCAGCTGTGTTTCCAACCAGGACTGTGCCACAAAAAGCAGGTGTTATCAGCTAAAACATGATCTTTTCCTAACCGAACTGAGAAGTTTTTGTACCTTAACCTAATCATAAGCGTTATAATGTAGGCAATTGGTCTTGCTTATGATTACCATACCTGCATTACTGAGAATCTTCACCGACACGCCTTAACCTAACCACACATTAACCACAGCGTTGTGTCCACTAGAATCCACTGCATAATAACTTATGCAATAAAATGAGACGTATCAGTGGTTTGCAGAAACACGCAATGCCAACATTTATTCTGGCAGGAGGATGTCACCTGCAAGCAAGTTCAGGCTGTTACACTCACATGGCACAGTCTTCTCACTGCATCTTACAATATATAGTAGTAATAGTAGTAGCCAGCTGAGGACCGGGGGGGCAGGATGGGGCAAGCCCTAGGGATGTGACTTCTAAGTGGGTAATATTGACATGGCTGTTCAAACTGTGGAAGCCATTACACTCCACCTTCCATACTGTAATTGACAATTTAATGAGGGGTGTTTCCTTTCCTTGAAATTTTCACAGATTAGTCTAAATTATAGACTTCACAGTGCATGGTTATTTGCCAGTGCATTTCCAAATGGTTCGTGGCAATTTTCACGTGTCGTTTGTGCTACTGTATCACAAGCATTCATGGTAGGGACGTCTGTTTTGTTAATCAAACCTATATCAAACCTTAGAGTGCTATACCTTGTTTCACTCAGAAAAAGAATGACTTCCAAGTCAATATAATCTCACAACAAGGAAATATCTGAGAGCATGATAGGTGAAATAAAATTACATGGAATTCACAGATTTGGGAGGCTTCAATACACAATGTGTCATTTTCTGCTCCTAGGGGTCTCTCAATCAAAACAATAACTAAAGATGCAGTTTGTAACGTTGTGAAGTAGCATAGGATCATGGGAGTTGTTGTCTTCATTGCTAAAGAACCACCGTAGCTGTTTTATTTTTAGGTTAAGATTCCTTCAGTATTCATCCTATAGGTGTTTTTTTTACCGGGATCTAAACAATTTGCGGAAGTCTTTTTCTCCTCCACCTCCAAACAAACCCCATAATTCTTACAGGCATAAACTTGGAATAAAGCAGTTTCACATTAAAAATCAGGGTCTCTCTGACACTCTTCTGTGGCCAAAGAACTACAGGACAGGCTGCTAGCTGAGCTGCCCTAACGTTAACTCAGCTTGTTTTAAGGTTATTACTTGGGTGCTGAAATATCCACAAAGGTCTCCTCCTCTCAACAACACTGTTAAAAACTTACAAATTTAGTGGTATCTAGCGGTGAGGTTGCAAAACTAAAACTTCTCCCATGTGCCAAGCATGTAGGAGAACTACAGTGGAAAAGATGAACGGCCCTATCTGGAGCCAGTGCTTGGTTTGTCCATTCTGTGTTACTGGAGAACATCATAGTGGACCCCGTGGGAGACGACCCACTCTCGATATAGATAAGGTAATGAAAACACAATGATTCTTATTTTCAGGTGATCATAAATAACGAAAAACATAGTTATGATCATTATATACAACTCCTGCGAATAGATGCACCTAAATCCTATACACTGGACCTTTAAGCCGTCAGTGCTCTGCTCAAGCTTTTGCTGCATGCCTGCTGCCACAATGCTCACCTGAAAGCTATGCTGTTACTTGCTACTGCTGCTGCTGCTGCGGTTCTTACCATTTCAAAAACCCAACCTCCACCCCAACACACACCTGTAGGCTCTGAGTCTACCTTTCCCTACAGGGGGTCGTTAGTGTCATCGCACCTCACTCCCTGCTGTGCTTAGCTTGGTGTTACCTTGTGGGGAGCGTAGTAATAAGAAATTACAGAGCAGCATGCCAAACTGGGTGTGAGGTAATTCAGGAAAAGCTTCACCATTACTAAAGATTAATTTTGGGGCTTTTTCGCCTTTAATGGATAGGACAGAGTGAAAAGGGGAGAGAAAGAGAGAGTGGGGGGATGACATGCAGTAAATGGTTGCAAGCCAGTTGAACTCGCGACCGCTGCAGCGAGGCATCACCTCTGTATATGGGGCGCTGGCACTATCTATCACGCTACCAACACCCCAAGCTTTACCATTACATAGTGGGCTACCAGACAGCGCTGTAAAATTTATCATCTGTAAAAAAACAGAAAATGTTATCCAATTTTACGCTCCTTAAATATCATTATTAGTATCGGCCTCAAATATCCAGTATCGGTCGGCTACAGTAAGCATCACAAAGAAATTCCATTCACCTCCACTGTGTAAGGAGAGATGTAGAAATCTCAGGGGAGATGGTGTATTAAAACCTGGCACACTAAACTAAATTTATCTCAGTTGATACCACTAGAGGCAAATGAGAAAATATGTTTTTGTTATTATAATTCATGTGATTCTTTAAATACACACCCGAGCACAGTATGCTATCAGCTCACGAAGCATACACGCAGCAAACATTTGCAAATGACATTCCAGCCCGGTTAAAAACAACTGAACCCGTTGTAAAACAAATGGTAGATCACATACAAGACATTTTCCTCATCTCTCGCCTCGGTCTGGTTCTAAACAAACCTGCAGCTGGAAACAACCTCTAGGCAGAGAGGCGCCACATGCTGGGCGACGCTGCCAACAGGCTCTGCAGGTGGTTGTAAGTAAGTTATGCTTATGGCATAGGGAAGATAGACAGGAGGCTTCCTTACAAAGGGAGTACATTCCAGATTACTATAAGCGAAGGAAGATTACAGTACCATGGGCAGCAGCAGAGGCAGCAGCACAGGCATGCATATGATTTTAGGTTATTCAAAATGGAGCATCATTTTCACTTTTGGCATTTAGTGCTTGAAACCATTCTTAATTATAAAAGGATTTAAACAGAGGCCAATGA